CGCGCACGCTCGCTCTACACTTCTAGAGATAAGGATCAACATTTATCAAGCACCTACCAGGTCAAAGCAGGGGCTACAAAAACACAGGTGCAGGCCCTCCATACAATGGACCTGAAGAAGCTAAACAGACCCTTTCAGGAAATCTCCAATACCATGGGACTTACGTAAATCCAAATGTAGAGCTTGCTAAAACAAGTATACATGAGTACGTGAGGAAGTTGGAAGTAAACACATGCTGCTGGAGAAACAGAGGTGGAGCTATGGGTGGATCTGGGTTTAGCTAAGAATGAATCAGACCATCCCACAGAGAGTGGCTCCTCCCTGAATGGACTTGCTATAAAAAAGCCACTAACCCAGCCTGCAGTACCCAGCAAGCTCCTTCAGCTGCAGTCTACTTGTTCTTCTTCTGAATAAGGTAAGGGGAATACATTTAACTCTGCCTACCTCATGTTAAGCAAAGTGGACATTTGTATAAATGTGCATTCTAAGGCAAAAAGTTGTAGATATTTGGGTTATTTTTATTGTCACCATAATTAGAAGTTTATTTCCATATGGAAAGAAAATGAGCATGCACGTTTGCTTTCCCTGCGGCCACTTAATACTTTCTTTGTATTGCTAGGTTATTGATGTTTCCATTCATTCAACAAATATATGTTACTACCATCTCTTTGCCAAGCTCGCCTACTGGCACTGACCTTACAGTCATGAGCTGTATAAACTCCCCACTATTAGAAGTTTATGTTTAGTAGGGGGAGACAGCAAACAATCAAAGAGTATGTCTGCTAATAACAAGAGTGCTGAAGAGAACAGAGTTATGCAGTGGAGTGACAGGAGGCAGAGAGCATCTGAGACTGCATGGCCCGTGAACGTGTCTCTTGAAAATTGTCTTTGTTTTTCTTTCCTCCATTGAATTAAAATTTCAAGTGACATGTAATTGTGTATATGTAAGGGATATAGTGTGACATATATGTGTATATGTGATGTGTAATGATAAAACCAGGATAATTATCATACCTACCATCTCAAACATTTATAATGCTAATAATTTATGAGAAATAATGGGAATAATAAAAACCATGAGAATATCGGCCTGCTGAAGCCAAAATCTGCATTATCCAGGATTCTTGTCTTTAGACCATACTGATTCATCACCACTGCCCAGTCAACTGTGTCTACACAGAATGCCGGATCCAATTTCTCTCTCCACCGCTATCATTCTGGTTCAGTCTACACTTAGGTCCTTCCTCTGATTATTATAAGAAAATACCCAAACAAACTCACCCATCTTTCTATTGATAAACACTTGAGTTCCTTCTACTTGAGGAAGGAGTATGAATAATGGGGCTATGAGCATTTGGGAGCATGAATTTTTGGCTGCATATATTTATACATGTGCATGCGTGCGCATGTGTGTGCGTGCGTGTGTCTGTCTGTCTGCCTGAGTTCCTGTTAGGAATATTCTTGGAGTAAACTGCTGGGTCTTGGATTTTGGATACTGCCAAACATTGTTCCAAGGGGCCCCTTCAATCCAAGCATCCTCTAGGAGCCTATGAAGGTCTACATTCTCCATGCCTTCATCAATACTTGGCATTATCACATTTCTTTTTCCTTTGTGCCTTTTTTAGTCACGTTCAAGTATACTGTGTTCTTACCCATAATTACAATTTATATCTCCCTGGTGATTAGCAAGATTGATTTCTGATACACATTTACTGGCCATTCAACATTCTTTTCTAAAGTTCTGTGAGACCCATTTTTCTGTTGGATTATCTGTATTTTTAAAGTAATTTATTATGTGCAATGTTAAGGACTAAGTTCTTAAACGTTCTATGTATATTTTACACCCTGTTTTTAATGTTATCGGTAAATGAACTGACACTCCTATTTTTAATGCAGCTCCATTTATCACCTTTTTTTTTTTTTTGGTTAGTATGTTTTGTTTGAGATAAGGTCTCACTATGTACCCCCTGTATTAGGTACTCTCTATGTAGCTCCGTCTGGCCTCAAACTTATAATTCTCCCACTTCAATCTCCAAGTGCTGGAATTACATGACCACACCACCATGTAGCTCATGATAAGCATTTTTTCGTCTCGTTCAAGCATATTTCCTATCCCAAATGCTTGAATATATTCTCCCATATAATCTTTTTAAATGTAGAATCTACTCATGAGCATTTCTTTTTCATACAGAAATAGAACTAACCCTGAATTATTTATCCAATAGGTTACCTATCCTGGGCTGAGGAGATGGTTCTATTAGTAAAATGCTCTCCATTCAAGGATAAGGACCTTAGTTCGAGCCCCAGAACCACTGTAGAAAATATCCTCGCATAATGTGGCACATGCTTGCAACCTCAGTATTGGGGGAAGAGGGGCAAGTGTAGATCCCCAAACTCACTAGCCAGTCAGCCTAGTCTACTCAGTGAGCTCCAGGACAATGAGACAATCTACCTCAAAATACAAGGTGGATGGCATGTGAGGAACAATAGCAAAGTTTAGCCTCTGGCCTCTACATGCAATCATACACATGTGCACAGTTACCTGCACATGGATGTACACGCACATAAGTACACACACATTCACACACACCAAGGCTGTCTTTTTCCTACTGACTTGCACAACTACCTTAGTCATAAGTCAAGTATCTAGAGTTATAAAGGTCTGGTGTAGACTGTTGCCTGTCATTGTTCTGTCTGTTTATCCTTGAATCAAAGCCATATTACCTTCCTCTATAACACACCTTGCTAGATATGCATTCCAATTTTGTCTTTCTTAGGATTGTTGTGTCTAATCTTGATTCTCCATGTTTTCATGTAAATTTTAGAAACCACCTCATAAATCTCTATTTTTAAAAAACTTAATGGATTTGGAATGGGACTTTATTGTATCTATAAATAAATTTGGAGAGATTTAACCTCAACAATACTGAGACCTTCAATCCCTGAAAAAGATATACTCTTTGATGTATTTGAATCAGCTTGAATTTATCTTTACAATTATAATATTCTCAACACAGACCTTCCATATTTTTCATAGATTTATTTCTTGAGTGTATTGCCTGCATGTATGTAAGTGCACCCATCTTGTACAATGTCCAAGGAGGTTAGAAGAGAGCATTGGATCCCCTGGAACTGGAGTTACAGACCCTTGTTAGTTGCCATGTGGGTTCTGGAAATCAAAGTCAGGTCCTCTTCAAGAGCAGCCAGTGCTCTTAACTTCTTAGCCATCTCTCCAACCTCATAGCAAGCATTCTTTAATTTTATTCTCTATTGCTTACTACTGCTGTATGTGCTTACTGCTGTTGTATGCAAACTGGACCCTTGTGTGCTTATGACATAATCAGTGACACTATTGATTTTTTTCTAATAGTGTAGTTGCATATTCTTTTAGATTTTCTGCATACAAAAATATCATTCTTTGATTAGTGAGAGTAGTTGTGCATCTTTTCCAAGTAATGTTTTTAATTTCACTTATATTTGATGCTATTATTAAGTTCTTTGGTTTAAATCTAGCATATTACTACTTGGTTTTTATTATCTTATCTATTCTACATATCTTTTTCTCTTAACTTTCTTAGATTAATTAAATTATATCATTTGATTTTCTTCACACTAGCTTATTAATTATATATCTTTTTACTACTCTTTTCATGTTCACCCTATAAATTACAACAGCCATCCTTAATTAAGCATATTAAATACAAATAACACTACTCAATTTAAGTATCCTACAATGCCTGAACTCCATTTCCTCCCTCTGGCTTTTCTGCTATTATTGGATGCTTTAGTTTAATCTATTATACTAATGCTGAAAGTTATCACTATGATCATTTTATGCAATCAAAATACATTAAACTTTTTCATACATTTATTTATTCAATTATTCCTCATTATTTACTGCTTTTCTGTGCGTCCCTTAATTTTCCTATTACAGTATGTTTCTGGTGATGAATTCTGTTCCAGCTTGAATTTAAGCCCCAATAAACTAACACAGTTTTCAATATCTACACACCACACAAGTATATGCACACAGACACATATGCATGCACACGAACATGTGTGCACATACACACATGCACACACACACACACACACACACACACACACACCAATTCCAGTTCTCAAAAGGAAAGATCATCTGAAATGATCTAATAAACTCTTGTACAGATATTTTAATAAAATAATCAATTTAAGTCATTCTCTTCCAAAAACTGTTGTGCTATATCTCTAGAATAAAATGTGCTGCTATGTTATTTATAAGATCACTACTATCTGATATATATATATATATATATATATATATATCACTTTAACTTGAATAAATATTAGATTTTTATTTCCCCCTTTTTCTCTCTAATTTTGCATAAGGGTTAAATGCCAATTTTTAATAGCTTGCCAAACTATATACTAAAAAAAATAACCACAGTAAAAAATCAGCAAATACTTAACATCTTTTGCTCACAATTTCAAGGTCCATAACAATCTAGTCCATATCAATATAGCCATATAGTTTGTGTTGTTTCCTGTAGTATTTTTGATTCACCAGGTTACATGAGTCCTAAAGTCATCATTGTAACTCTTTTTGTAATAGATGTTGATTTTCACTTATTGACATCCCTATTAATTTTTTATCACTTATGAGATAAGCTAGTGAGTCTTTCTCTGTCCGTGTTGTGACTAACAGCCAACTCTCCAAGAGGGACTACCCTGTCTAGAGCACACTGAGGTCCAAGAGATTAAAATGCTACTGCTCGGAAAATATTTGAAGTGCAGAAACTGGCAGCTTTACTTACCGATGTTACCTGATTTCTTTCTCTGTAGACGGTAGAGAGAAGCTGCTCATGACAGTCTTTCATTTTTAAAGATGAACTATTTAAACTACAGGTTTAAAATATGGGTAATCATTACAATAATGAATATGACCATGACCTGAAAAAATAAAAATGCAAGAGAAATCAATTTTTATTTCACAATTCCAGGTTCATACATACTATCAAAAGATGTCTACTCTCCTGGAAAACATCACTAGCATGATCAAAATATTCCATGAATACTCAAACAAAGATGAGGAGACCGAGACACTGAGCAAGAACGAGCTGAAGGAGCTCCTGGAAGTGGAGTTTCAGTCAGTCCTGAGGGTAAGATACATATTGCAGGAGCAAAGGGCATGGATTTCTGATCCGCATCAGCAGTCCAAACAAACATTCTTTTAAATCTCTTTGTAAATATGTGAACTATTTCATTTGTAAGAGAAACAAAGCTGTTCTTATGTCAAAAGAGGAAATATATAGTTCTATCTCTTCATAGTTCATGGATAATCACAGACATATATAGACCATATGAAAACAAGAATGCAGTCGATATTTGATTGCAAATGAATAAAGCATTTTGACATCGCTGTTCAAAATGCTTGTCCCCAAACCAAGAACACCAGCAGCATATTGAAATGATCATTAAATCTTGAACAGAATGAAATTCTGACACAAAAGAAAAAACAGATATTTACCTCAATAGACATTAAGATTTCTAAAAGTTCTTTATAAATTATTTTGATCTAGTGCCACTTCTAAAGAGTTGAGGAAGGAATTAAAAGGACTACAAATGAAACAATGTGGGACACTTGCCACAAATTTTGGTACCATGACTTCATAAAGCATAAATTAACTTTGATAGATTCCATTAACAACAAGGTGCTACAGTATAATCACAATCCATTACTTCTTACAGAATCCTAACGACCCAAACACAGCCGATATCTTCATGGAAATACTGGATGTGGACCACAATGACAAGATAGACTTCACTGAGTTCTTACTGATGGTATTCAAGTTGGCTCAAGCATATTATGAGTCCAGGAGCTTGGGTGGAAAACAAAGAGGAACAAAGCACAGAAGAAGTAGACATCAGGAACACGAAGAGGGGACAGGAGAAGAGGAGGAAAAGAGAGAACACAGATCACATCATTCAAGAAATGACAGCACAGAGAAGAGGAAGAGGTCAGAGAGCCCAAGAGGAAAGGGAAAGAGGAGACATGGGTCTCAGTGTGGCAGGAAGAGGACAGATTCAGCAGCCCACAAACACACAGAAAAAGAACAAAAAAACAATGATGAACCAAGGAGAAATGGCAAATCTGGGTCTGATTCCACAGAGAGAAAAAGAAGAAACAAGAGAAGTAGGAGCCCCTTGAGAAGAAAAGACAAAAGAAATACTGATGTGGCCTGTGTATATGAAGAAATGCCAGATAGCATTGGGAACTACGAATCTCCCCACTACACTGAATCTGCCGAGGACCGGGACTCATCTAGCCCAAGGGGGAGACACCGGTCCCCCCAGGAGCAGTCCCCAGACA